AGACCTACCCTACCGCTACTGGACTCTAAAAATGCCAACTTTGTCTTTTTCTGCTCGGCCTCCAGTACCCCTCACGTCAACCGCAGTGGGGTGCATTATTGGCCTACGTTTACTTGAGTGTTTTTCCGCTACCCGAAGGGCCTCAGGGCCGCTGGCTTCACCACTTGAGTGTTTTCCCTGCTACAACCCTCAATGCCACGGCCACAGGTAAGTATCGGCCCTACGGGCCTACCAAACAAGCAAGTACCCTTGCGGGTCCCACACACACTCATACCAACAAGCACTCAGACAAGCATGCAGGTCAAGCACGCACACACGCAGACAGACTTAGAAAACACAACAGAATGCGGGAATCTCATCAAGGCATCCATTCCATCGGCAGAACTTCAGAAATCAGCAGTGTTCTCAGTCTGTGTTATGACGGGTCATTACACTACCCCCCCCTCAAGAGCGAGGTCCCTTCGAGCGAGTAACTCAATCAGAGTCCTTGCATAGTGCATCATAGGCGTAGATAGCAAAGAGAGATCGTGCGTGTTCCGTAGGAGTCAGGGTAGCAGTAAACTTTGGTTGCTGTTCAACACTTATCAATCGTTCATAGGCATTAACGACACACGGTGCACTCTGCAGTAAGTCTTTCCTAGCAATCCAATAGAAATCGTCCAACGGATGGTACAAAAAATAAACTTTATACTGTCTGTTTCTTCCCTTCCCACTGTGTTTGACAATCCTATCAACCTCATGGCCGCCATTGATTGCGTGGGGAATCATTGACTCTCGGTACTTGAACGTTTCAGGTGGTTCATATGGAAACAATTTTGACGCATGAAAAACTGGGTGTGTGTGCAAATGTGCAGGCACATCAATCGTGTAGGAAGGACCGAAGGAATCACTCCCTACCTGGTTCAAGACCTGCCACGGACCGTAGTACTGAGGAAGAAGCTTTCGTGAGACACCTTCTTCTTCAGAAAACTCAGACATTTTGACCCAGACATAACTTCCCACTGTGAATGGTGCAGGCTGGCGCTTCTTGTTAGCATGTTTAATCATGGCACTGCGTCGCCTCTCCATAGCTGCGACAACAACTTTGAGTAGGCGATCGAACTTGGCGCTGTAGCCTGACTGGCCAGGTGTTAGGCCAGGTGGCTGATCAGGAAACAGATAAGATAGAGGATTGCGGATTTTCCATCCAAGATGCAGCCGGTTAGGCGTTATCCCGGTGGAGGAGTGGATGGAGTTGTTGTACAACCCCTGCACAATCGGCAACTCCTCATCCCAAGAGTTCTGATCAGGTACAATTAGAGCCCTGAGAAGTTGGATCACGGTCTGGTTGATTTCCTCAGCCAGTCCATTGGCTTCGGGGTGTCGCCCAGACGTCATCTTGAGTTTCATGTCGTAGGAGGTGAAATCTTTCTAGTCTGCGCTTATGAACCTGGTGTCCCGATCACTCACGAGAGTTTTCGGGGGGCCATAGTGTAGCACGTACCTTTTGTTGAACTCATCGATCACAAGGTCAGTTGGGGCGTGAGGTGGCAAGGGAATCAAATATAGAAATTTCAAAAACCGATCAACGATCACCATCACTTGCGAATAACCGTTTCTGCTCTTCTTCCCCATGTCCGTGAAGTCAATGGAAACAGACTCACCCGGGCCATCAGGGATAGGAAGAGGGTGCATCAGCCCATAGGGCTTCTGCCGAGACGGTTTGATGCGCTGACAAACTTCACACTCAGCCACAAACCTTTGTGCCATTTTTTTCATTCCAGCCCAAACAAACCTTTCCAACAGATTCCCGTATGTCTTCTCAACACGGAAGTGTCCTTTCCGGCCATGAGTCAAGTCCAAGAAACGAGTCATGATTGGCTCATGGTTGGGCACACACAATCGGTCATGCTTCCCGTAACGTCGGAAGAGAAGGCCCTTACACTCATGGAAATCGGGCTGACTGTTGGGGTCAGCCCAGATCTGCTCAAGGATGGGACTGAGCTCTGGATCCTTGGCAATATGCTCAATGAGCTCCTCTTTCAGATTCTTACGAAGGTCATAGGAACCCACAAGGCAAGTCATATATTCGGGGTGGCGAGACAAAGCATCCGCAACACGATTATAGCAGCCTTTCTTGTGTTTGAGTTCAAAATCATACACATCAATCTCATGCAGCCATCAGGTCAATGTGGTTGATGGGTTAACCTGTGTCTGAATGCATTTCAAAGTCTCATGGTCTGAGAACACTTTGAAATGGCAACCCAAGAGGTAGTGTTTCCAGTGGTCTAGTGCCTCTCTCAAGGCATAGAGCTCTCTCATGTAAGTGGAGGCAGCTACCTTGTGGCTGGGCATGCGTTTGCTGTAATATTCAAGCGGACGTAAGCCATCACCATCGTCTTGCGGCAGCACCGCACCAATCCCATACAAACTCTCATCCGTAGTTACTACGAATGTAAGCTTGGGATCTGCAGTGCGGAGCACTAGATGACTCACCGAAGCCTCTTTCAGTGCTTCAAAGGCTGTTGTGCATTCTTCATTCCATGTGTAGGACACATCTTGCTTGTTAGTCTAGACAATGGGCGGGCAATGATAGAAAATTTAGGCACAAACTTACGGTAGTACGACGCAAGACCAAGAAAAGAATGCAACTCGCGGACATTCGCAGGTTGGGGCCACTTTTGGATGACCTCAACCTTGGTTGCCTCGGGCTCTAGGCCTGCAACAGACAACCGATGTCCAAGGTAGATGACGCTGTCCTTCCCAAACTCACATTTCTCCAAGTTGAGATGGAGTTGCGCGTCCTTGAGGATCTGCATCACTTCCTCAAGGTGTCTCATGTGCTCCTCCATCGATTTGCTGAAGATTAGTATGTCATCCAGATAAACAACAACAAACTGGTTAATCTGATGGCGGAGCACTTTGTCCATGAGACTTTGAAAGGTGGCTGGCGCATTCGTGAGACCGAAGGGCATGACGGTAAACTCGTACAACCCATCGCGAGTTTTGAATGCGGTTTTGTGCTGGTCCGCAGGATCGACTTCGATCTGGTGGTAGCCAGACTTGAGATCGATCTTGCTGAAGACTTTGCACCCACCTGCAACATCAAGCAAATCATCGATACGTGGCAAAGGAAATGCATTCTTTCTCGTGATCCGATTCAACCTGCGATAGTCAATACACATCCGCAACTTACCTCCTTTCTTAGGGACAAACAACACCGGTGCACCAAACTCCGACTCACTCGGCTTGATCCATCCCTTCCCAATCATTTCATCAATCTGCCTTCGCAACTCCTCCAATTCGCCTGAGCCCATTCGATAGACACAACCCTTTGGAGGAGTGCTACCTTCAATCAACTCGATCGTGTGTCGGACCGGACGCACGGGGACTCCATGCGGTTCGGCCAAGACGTCAGGAAATCGGTTGAGAAGGTTGCGAATGTCCGGTGGGATTTCCGGAGGGGGATCATCACTCTCAGGAGCAAGCATATCAGTTTGTATAGGTGCAACCAAAACAACAGGATTAGAAGTAGAGTCATTTGGACTAGAGATGGACTTAATAGAGGTAGAAGTAGTTCCATTCGAGGTGGACACAGTATGCAAAGTAGAATCACTATGTACAACAAAAATAGAAGGCACATGAGCAGGCCTAACAAAGGCTATATACATTTGCTCATCAGTTTTGCGCCTGCGCCACGTTTTGCAGAATTGCATTGCATTGAGAAAGGTCACTTGGGACTCGCGCGGCTCATCCAAGAGGACGGGACGCTCGATCCCCATGGCATCTTTGACCATGAATTGTGAGTCCTTCCACGTGGTTCTTTCACATCGGACCTGCAACCAGCCCAAGCCAATAACCGCGTCGAAGGGGCACTGATCAAGGACATAGAAGTTCAATTCATGCGTGATTGTGCGATCAGCGTCAAAGGTAGTGCGCACACCTTTGACTACATGTGTGGAAGTGAACCTCTTGGTTGCCTACTTGGGTCCGACAAGGATTCTGCAAAGTCACTTGCTTCATCCCCAAGCTTGCCTTACGAATGCCGTGCGGTGAGAAGTAGTTGGTGGTTGCGTCACAATCAGCCAACGCACGGATGTAACGGCCATTAATGTAGAGTTTGAAGAAAATCAGCTTCGTTCTCCCTTGCGCGCGTTCTTGCTTCATATGAGCCCATCACGTCAACAGAGCATGGAAGTCAGTCTCTTCCGACTCTACTTAAGACTCTTTATATAGGATGTGGATTTTCTCAGCCTTGGAATCAGCATCAGATGGGGTCTTAGGAGAAGTTTGTTGAGTGGGATCAGAATCCAGAGAAGGAGTGATACTTACATGTTCAGCCTCTCCATCTGTAGAGTGTGCTGATGATGCCTCCACCCCCGTTGCTGGTTTCCCTGTTGCAATCTAAAGCATTGTTGGACTGAATGTCCCTGTTTGGTGCAATGCAGGCAAACCCCTTTCTTCACCCTGTGTTTCCACTCGCTTTCACTGATCCGGAGATCTACCCATGGTTTTGTGGCAGGATGTTCCGGTTTGGGTGGAATCTTTGCCCCCTTGGGAAGAAGAATAGTGTTAGTGTTGTTCTTCATTGTGGTCCTCGGTCCCTTACTCTTAAAGGCAGTCTTCTTAAAGGCATTCATGGATTCATCGTCATTTCGTCAGCCTCAAGCAGATCATGTGCTGCAAAACGGTTGCTGCCTGGAAACCGTTTGCGGCCAGGGGCCTTTTTGCCACTTGATCCACTTGGGAGGTCTTGTGCCTCCAGCTTGACTAAGTCCCACATGAGGGTAAGCCAATCTGTATATCTGTTGAGCCCGAGCCCTAGGCGATCTCTTAGAGTAGAGGGGACCATACCTTTTATCACATCCAAGCAAGACTGCGAAGTCATCTCCAGATCCGGAGTAGCAAAGAGTTTACTGACGTACTGCTGCAGACCTGTCTCTTATACACATCTAGATGTGTATAAGAGACAGGTGTGTGTGTGTGTGTGTGTGTGTGAGAGAGAGAGAGAGAAAGAGAGAGAGAGAGAGAGAGACCTGCTTCACGTGCCGCTCACCATGCTCCACACGCCTCTCTGCACGCTGGTCGCTGCGCAGCTACTCACTTGTCCACGTGCCGCGCGCGCTTCTCCACGCGTTCACCAGGCGATGGTAGGATGGCACAACTGCAGGATTCAACGACGGTGCTTCTCCATGCAGGTCTGCGTCGACGACTAAGGAGGTCCTTCGGAAAGCAGCGGGCGCAAAACACCCGCCCACAACGGTTCCAAAAAAAAAAAACGCAGAAACACTGAAACCCACCAGTCCACTTTCCGGCCGTTCCGGTTTGTGGCCGAGGGCGGCAAAAAATGGGGCGCAAATTTTTTTCGGCGGCCCAGGGCCTGAATAAAAGCCCTGGACCGCCCAAGAAAATTTTGCCCCTTGTGCTGGGGCCCTCTCATCCGGACCAAGATCCGGACCCGGACCCCGGACCACGGACGGTCCGGATCCTTGTCCGATGGTCCGGATCATAGCCATTGTTACGATCCTGGCCAATTTCGAAGTCCACAATCATCAGAAAGTACAATGTTGTCCAATTGCGAAAAGAAATGAATGAACTTGAGCCCAATGTCGTCCAATTGCAAAAGAAATGAAAGAAATTGAGAGGAAAGAGAGGGAAAGAAGAAGAAGAAGAATTAAGAAGAAGAAAGAGATGATGTACTCCAGCATAGACCAAAGACAAAGCTCTTCTTCTTCGCTCAACAACCTCCTCCTCTTTATCTCCTCCTCTCTTATTCAAACAATAAATAAACAATAATAATGTTGAACAGCTGAACCAGAATCAATGTCCAAATCCCACTTCTACTGCAGGCACAAGGTGAGGTCCACCATAGCCATGGCAGCCCTTCTTCTTCCTCCACATACAGGCCGAGGCCATGGCGGACTACGGAGGCTTCAGCCTCCTGTACAAGAGACAACCTAAAGCAGCTACACCGCTGCCCTACTCCAAGGTCATCACCCAGCAGCTATGCCGCTGTCCACTCAACCGCCATGCCTGACTCTGTCCGAGCTTCCTTGATGCGGCACTACCCCCACTGGGGTCTTCTTGATGCAGCGCCTAGCAAGGAGATGAAGATGGTGTCTACCATAGCCAGGTAAGTACCCTACCACTCTCCTCCTTGGTCCCCTTCTCCCCCCTCCTCCTACCGGCTGAGCTCCACCATAGCCAAGGTGGAAGCTCCCGGCTTCTTCCTCCCAGCAGCGCTGTAGTGCCCAGCGCTCCACCTAGCGCTCCAGCAGCGTGACGCCCAACTCGCACACTGAAGAATGAGGCGGAGCTCTTGCCTCCGCCTCTAGATATAGCGGCCTGCTTGCCTCTTGGGCGGTGACTTCCAGGCCGCTCGGCCTCTCCAAGCAACCGGTACCTCCTCCGTTTCGGAGGGAAACATCATTGCAGACCCTGATATTACCGGTACAGGCTCTAGACTCAGATTGGTTGGACTGGTACCGGCCTAGACCTACCCTACCGCTACTGGACTCTAAAAATGCCAACTTTGTCTTTTTCTGCTCGGCCTCCAGTACCCCTCACGTCAACTGCAGTGGGGTGCAGTATCGGCCTACCGGCCTACTTGAGTGTTTTTCCGCTACCCCAAGGGCCTCAGGGCCGCTAGCTTCGCCACTTGAGTGTTTTCCCTGCTACAACCCTCAATGCCATGGCCACAGGTAAGTACCGGCCCTACGGGTCTACCAAACAAGCAAGTACCCTTGCGGGTCCCACACACACTCATACCAACAAGCACTCAGACAGGCATGCAGGTCAAGCACGCACATACACAGACAGACTTAGAAAACACAGCAGAATGCGGGAATCTCATCAAGGCATCCATTCCATCGGCAGAACTTCAGAAATCAGCAGTGTTCTCAGTCTGTGTTATGACGGGTCATTACACCATGGTTATTAGAGAAGGGGTGGATAGAGCCAAGCTCGTCCTCGTATGGCGTGCCAGGTCTGTTTGTGCCCAAGGAAGAGGGCGAATTGAGACTTTGCATAGTCGATACGGGCCTGAACGCTATTATTGTAGTAACCCATGCCATATGTCTCGTGGAACTGAGGGCCTCAGAAGGGCTACTTGGCCGCCCTCAGCCCAGGCCGAACAAGGGCAAAAAAGGCCCTTCACAAAATCAGGGCCTGGGTGTGTGACAATTGACTTTGGTCAACTGTCGGTCCACCCAACAGTCAAAGTCCAAAGGTACCTAGCCCAGGCCGCAGGTCAAGCACACACACTTGTTTGTACGCAGGCACCCAGACGGCATCAGGTCCAAGGGAGAAGTCTGCGACTGCACAATCCGGGCCTTCAGCTGTGAGTCAATCTGGACGACTGAGGGGAAATACACCGAGGCGAGACAGCCTCGCTGACTGTTACTTAAGGCTGGCCTCGAGTGAGTCAAGCATTCAGTCTTGCTATGCTGCTAGGACGCTGGCTCGACTTTGACAACGCTGGCTTCATGCTGGCTGTGCACACGCGTTGCGGACGACGGCACAAGGTGGAGGAGGCACGCTGGTGCTTCTTCGGTGCACCATGGCGTGCTGATGTGGCGCTGCCTCTGGTATATGTGGCGTTGCTTCTGGTCTGTGTGGCATGCTGATGTGGCGCTGCCTCTGGTATATGTGGCGCTGCCTCTGGTATATGTGGCGCTGCCTCTGGTGTACGTGGCATGCTGACGTGGCGCGGCCTCTGGTATATGTGGCGCTGCCTCTGGTCTATGTGGCATGCTGACGTGGTGCTGCCTCTGGTATATGTGGTGCTGCCTCTGGTATATGTGGCGCTGCCTCTGGTCTACGTGGCATGCTGACATGGCGCTGCGTCTGGTATATGTGGCACTGCTCCTGGTATATGTGGCACTGCTCCCGGTATATGTGGCGCTGCTCCCTGTATATGTTTTTGATGTGGTGTATGCCACCTGTCTTGGTTGCTGGCGTGGCATTATCCATGCTGTCTACATGAGGTGACTGGTTGCGTGGAAGAGGAAGATCGGGATCTGTGGATGTAGGGAATCGGGTACTCACCTGTGGCTGACGTCGTCACTGGAAATCTGTTGTGTCTTCAAAGTCTTCATGAGATAAAGTGCCACGTGGCATTATTGTATGTGATCAGAATTATTCTTATTATCATTGATGATGTAGTGTGGAAAGAAGCCCGGAGAAGGAGAGGGATCTGAAGGGTTCTGTGTATTCTCTCTTCCTCTCCTTTGTCTATTCTCCCTCCACACTCTTCTCTTTTTGGATACTGAGATACCGCTCGAGATATCACTTCACGATCTGGAGACTTTCAGACAGATATTGAAACTACTGTTAATTGATGACTTCTGAGTACCTAACAGACTAGATTCATTGCGTTATTGT